AAGCAAGTTAGCTGACACTTCAGGAAATAAGTATTTTTAAGTGACTGTCTGTAAAACAGCTGTACATACTATAAACAGTTTAATGCTCTTTTCTCATCAACTACAAGAGCTGTCACATTTGTTCATGATAGGATTGCTCAAAATGGCTTTGTACAGTTGTTTATAACAACTATTAACAAATGACTGTTGGACAAAAAGACTATAAATATGTATAACTGTGTGTGCATTATGTGAAGCCATATATATGGAAATAAATTTCAGGTTTTTTGCAGCCTCCAGAAATACAGCCACTTCCTAAATTTGCCATTTGCCTAACGCATACGAAGTGCCCTCGTGCCTAAAGAGCTGACAACAGCTTTAGAACTGCTACTGTTAGTCCTTGCCGAAACCACACCCTACTCCCTTTCAAAACTTGGTGGCAAAAGTGGCCACCTCCCCTTCCTCCTCCCCCCCCCAGAAACAGCTGTATGACTTAAAGGAGTTCAAGCAGCTCCTACCACCAAGCTCCCACCTCTGCTGTCTCTTGCAGAGTTGCTCACTGATTCTCCTAAAGTCTTTTGTTCTAACATGAAGACATATAAGAAAAGTAGGCCTTGTGCCCGTCTTCATTTTTTTCCTTGTTCTCTCACCTGCTGGGTATTGGGATGATGACTGTTTTCCCCTGCCAACATTCAATAGCTCTGCAGCTGTTGTTTTCCTAAAAGCAGCACCTTCAGCCTGTCTCATTTGCTTGTCCCTGTAGATGACAAAAAATTCTCAGCAGGGCGTAGACTTTCCAAGGAAAGAGTGGATTCTTAGACGCTATTACTATTATTATAATTCTTATTTAAGTCAGTTATCTACTGCCAGAAAAAAAAAAAAAAAAAAAGCTAATTAAAAACCAGCAGAAACGTTTCAGTGGGTTTTGGATACCTCACTGTGCTAGTTCCTTAATCCTTCCTGACACTGCTTGTCCCTGTATATGTGATAACGTCTTTATTAAACACAGATTAGAACTTCAAGCTGTGAGTTAGCAATGAGAACCAATGATCCAAAGCAAAAAATCATCTGCTTTTCTCGTGAGTTATATTAAAATACTAAGTCAAGCAAATAAAGATAAAATAGAAAAGTAAAGATACTTACACATTGAAAAACAGTGATTTTTAAAGCAAATGTGTTTCTTATGATACTGCTTTGTTAAATCAATGTTAACACTCCTCTCTGACACAAATGAATTAGCCCACTGGCCCATTCAATCAAATAGCCTGCCTCTTAAAGATGTCAGTACCAGATTATTTCAGCATGAAAAGTGCAAGGCATGTTGCCTTTCTTAGTTCACCACAGAATTTAGTTTCATCAGTTTATGGTTAGCTTGTACTCTCTACAGTAAGAGTTTAGATCACTTCTATACAAAAAGACTAATGTAACTGTGGATATGCTAAACTATGTTTGACTTTCATACTACTCTGTGGACGTGTTCTTTTTGGATTAACGATGTATTTGGAAAGATGTCTTTTTTCTGATTTAAATCACTATTTTAAATTGTTTATTGGAAATCTCTTTTTTAAAAGGAATAGAGAAACTGTCAATTTATCTTTGGAGTACATACACATTGCTGCATGCGCCTTTATCATTCTGTGAATGATTGCAAAAAGAAAAACATACTCATATCCCACCAGCATGTTTTAAATTAGCTCAGGAAAACATCTTTTGAAGAGAAAATTTCAAGGATATCAGTTAATACTAGTTCTTGTTCTGCACCAGATTTACCTCTGAGTACCAACCCCAAACCAGAGTCCATCACCACAGGGGTAAAAACAAACAAACAAAACAAATAAAAAATACCCCTACATCATTACCAGTTAGGCTTAGATTTGAAACAATAACCTGGTCTACACCTAGACACACTGTCTATAAAGAATTTAATAAACAAATTATTTTTATATTAAATGATGTACTGTAGATTGGAAATTATCTATTTACCTATTTAAATAGTAGCTAAATTCACAATACATGAGAACAGGTCAGATCAGTTTGGTGCTTTTGCTGCTTTAGTTTTAAGTACATATATTACAAATGTCCAAGTCTTGTGAACAATTAGGTTCCCAATTTCTTGCAGAATCTTATGTCAATTTATACATCCTAGACAAAGCCCATCATCTCATTTTTCTTTCAAGGTACTAGAGAAGAGACTTCAGCTTCTCTTGGGATTATTTTTTTCCCTCCTCAGACAGCAGCATGTTAGAAGTACAATAATTACTCAAGCACAAAATTGGGTCAAATAAAAACGGAAAACCTTAACATCTCTATCAAAATATCTTACACAATACACTTCACTCCTTGTAATTCATATTCTGCAATAAATCATTTGCATTAACAAAAGTATAAAACTTTGAAATAATCAGAAGCTAGTTATCCTATCCATCTTGCATAAACCTGTTGTAAGTGTAGGTAAGTCTCAAAATTTAACAAGAAATTTAATGCAATGGTAGAACATGCAAAAATAATCCTTCAGACTAATCAAGATCTAGCCAATTAGTTCTACTCATTATTTCATGTTTCACTAAAATTTTTAAATCAGCTTTCCCTGATAATGTTCAGAACACAGTGCTATGGCCCTGACTACCATGTTTCTATAGTATCAACCTCCCAAACACCTTGAAGAATAAATTTTACAAAGATTACAGCATCTACTACAGCTGTAATCAACCAATATGCTTTAAATATCATAGTAATTACATCACATTTTACAATTTATCACCTAAACTCAAAGAGAGGCTGAAGTTTTATTCATCTTTGGCCCTAGGTTTAGTCAATAGATATACAAATGATCTCAGAATCTTTAAAAGAAAACAACAAAAACAACCCACAGCACACCGCTGAGTATCTCATCTGGAAGGGTGTATTCCACAGAACAAAACATGGGTGAAAACACTTGAGGTGTAAACATATTTCCTTATCATAATGAAAAGTAAATCACCACTGGAAAAACCAGTACGTATGCCAAAGTTCAGTTCACAACAGCAGTCCTGGAGGGTTGAGAGGCATAAGAAAGTGTCTATAGTCAAGGAAATTTCTTTCCCCCCTCTGCCTCCCTTCTAATACAAAACACATAAAAAAGAATTAAAAAAAAAAAAAAAGTGTGGTAGGACTACAAATGTTGAACATTCTTGAACAACCCTTTTATAATGGGCTGTGGTAAAATGATTCTATGAATTCAACTCAGGATGTAGATAACTGATGACTCTTTTCTCTGCACCACACAAACAGGAACAAACTTGGGTGGGTGCTGCTGAGAGGGTTTGGGGAGTTTATGCTAGAGTGCTCAGGTCATAATGCCAGCTTGGTTCATATGCTCCAGGAATTATGAACATGTTCTCCAAGCTATTCAAAAGAAGTTGCACATTTTGGCAATACAACCTTTGTTATATCTTTCTTCAATATTTTCTACTGTTTCTCCTCTCAAAATTTCTGACATAACTTACTGTCACCGAGAAGAAAGTCAAAATATTTGGTTGTGTAACTTCACTTCTCATGGAGCCAGATCTCACCATTTATTCTAATTGGCCAGAATGAAGCTGAGTAAATGCTGGTCAAGTACCCCAAGCACTAGTTCACTTCTTTCTCTGGGGGAAAAGATGATAAATGCTTGCTGACCTGTGCAAAAGCTGGTCTGCTTCAAGTATCTGGCTTTGCAGATACTTGCTCCCCTCTTATTTTTCAAAATATTAGTGTTTACTCATCACGTTCTTTGGAGGCAATAACATACATATTATGTGTGTTTTATGGTGGAAGACCTAACATGAAGGAAAGTTGCAACAACACAAATTGCCTGAGAATTCACTGAGATTTGCACAATTTGAACCTGCTTTCGAAACTGAAGCTCAACTCAGAAGCCACTGCTGCCATCTGAGTAGCCTTAAAGGGTTACATCTCTGGGAAATTAGTTTTGTCTAAACAGCCAGCTGTTCTAACCCTTCTGTAAATTAAGTAACAACACACAAATCTCTTAACTAAATTAGTAAACAAGGCTACAACACTTCACATTCCAGAGAAACAGCATGATCATTGGAATGACTGGACAAGACTCCCCTGAAGAAATTAAGTTATGGCAACTACAAGTCTAAAAAAATATATAAATATATATATATATTAACAACCTACATTATTGGCACTAATTGATCCTGGATACTGGATAATAGAAAAACCTACAAACTTAAAATGCTATCTTTTGTTAGCAGAGAACATTATAGAGGAAAAAAAAAAAAAAAACACTTTTCTTCCTCAAATATCTCAAGATAGTTAGCCATGGAAAAAAAATGAAATATATGAGCTGTTGCATCTGTTTCTATGTTTAAGCAAAGCATTTATTGTGGACTCTCTTCTTTGTATCATCCAGCTGGTACATCAGCTAGCAAGCCACTGGAGAATGAACACAATTTTAGGCATCTCATAAATAAGCAAGAAGCATCACTGACTCAGAGCACTTGTGTATACTGTAATTGTGTGTGGCAGTCAAAACTCTGGAAAAACTAGCTGATCATTACAATATTATGCCCAAAAGGTAATGTTTTTGTGAGTCCAGTGGCAACTCCAGTACCTCATCTCTTCAGAAATTCTGGCCACTCAAAATTAAATATAGTTCTGGTTTCCCTACCCAAAACCATTTCTGCAGCAGTCAGGACCCCATAGCTCATTTGAATACAGTCACTTCTGTGCTAAAAAGTGCTGTCAAAGAAACAAGAATTCATCCATTCCAAAAGCAAAACACTGATGAAAGAGTAAATTTAGAACATCTGAACTCTCTCTTAAATGTCTTTTGATACTTACTGTCAGTATTTAAACAAAAAATATTTCTGTTAGCAAATATATGAAACAAAACTTACCATGAAGAACTTGTGTATTATACTTTACTGTGTTAACTATTAATTGGATAAAAAGAGATCCCACACAGGGTGCACAAAGGAGTTGAATACTAAGTAAATTATGATGAAGCCAACAGAAACCAAACCCACCACAGATTAGTATTTTACAAAGTACTTTATTTACCAGTTCCTTCTGCAATGGTTTATAATCACTACTTCTGTTTGCATGCCCAGAATAAATGCAATATCACCAAAAGTATCAGCCTTTGGTCAATGTCTGAAAGACCTTACCTTACTAATAAATATTATGCTGATCGACTGTGATCTTTTTTAATCACCTATCCACAGCAAAACTGTTCCATTTTGCAGCTGTTACCTAATCTCTCTAGTAATACCTCAGATCATGTTGCAAAGAAGTTCACATATCTGAAAGAGAAGTAGTAGAGACACTTTTTTCATAGATCGAGTTTGCTGGGAAGAAAAAAAAAAGTAATAAAATAATTGATTGTTTTACTGTTGCAACTGATAAACCCTAGGTTATGGCTTCTGAGGATGATAAATTTGGTTCCAGGGTAGTCTTTGTAGTAGTTTTTTAAATGAAAGGTGCCACATTTTCATGACCCCAACTATAGCAGTCCAGGCAAATTCATTTTGCCTGAAATAAGTTCAGAAGTTTATGGAGTATTTCAGCACAAAAGACTTTTGGTAGTTGGGGAACATGTGTCCTTCAAGAGGAGCTGGTGGCTAAGTACTCATGGCTGATCCTGACAACTGCAAAACGGGGAATTCCTCTCTCTTTGATAGAACCTCAGGAGACAAGAGAATCATTATTTGCATTTCATCTACGGCCTTTACATAGCAAAGACAATTTATAAAATATATTATACAATAACTAAACAGTAAAACAATAGTCAAAAGTGAGTGATATCATTGGAAGAAATTACTTGATGAAGTTACAATGACAGTGCAATCCGTTTTGAAGCTCTTCCTGTAATTTATTAGCTAAGAAGTCTTCTTGGTCCACCACAAATAGTTTTGTGTCCTCCATACAAACAGCTCTAATGATTTGCCATGTTCATTTAACAGACAATCTTCTCTTCATGGTGAGATGTGGAGAAAGAGGAAGAAAAAAAATAAACTTAGTTAATGCTAGGAAGTTGATTCCATCAATTTTGTATTCCAAACAGTGTCCCTACTAGAAAACAAGGAGTGAGCCATCTCGCCTAGTACCCTATCTAGATACCCTTAGAGGAAAGCACCAGATACTCTTGGTAGGTGGTCAAAGAACCCACATACAAAACAAAAACTTATTTTCTAAGGAAGTTCCCTTCTCACTGCAACAGGAAAATGCTCTCTGAAAAGTACTGGAACATAAATCTCATTCCCAAACTCTGCTTATTTCTTCTCCCATGCATGGACTGACAGTACTTTCACTAAAAATTCTTCTCACCTCTAACTTTATCCCCTTCAGAAGGGCAGCTAGATATAATGCTGTGAAGATGCTGCTACCACCCTCATCACTTACAAGAGCAACACTACCAAAGTAAATGAAGTATAAAGTACTGCTGCAGCATCCTCTCCTCAGAATGACTCCTCCACACTTGAACCTGTAAAACAGAAATATGGTCGATGTTCTTCTCTACAAGAAATGTAATGGATTATACAGGTTCATTGACTTTGCAGCTGAGATTTACTACAGTGAAAAAGTGAATGAGAACTTGAAAGGCCCAACCAGAACACATTCAGAGATACGAGTCCCAATTTAAATAGGATATACTCCTTTCTATGCACAGAACAACTCTTTAAAGAGAGAAATTTGGTCCATTTTGCACCCCACCTAACAGATTCAAGGCAGTATTTGTTTACAGTGATCAAAGAGACCTGAAGTATTTGCCACTGTGACTTGAGTTCGAATAGAAGTTTATAGTCAAGTACTTATGGAATTACCCATGAAGCCTTGTAAACCAAGTAAGAATTGCCGAAATTTATTCTAGAGAATCAGTTGCCAGGAAGAAACACTTTGATTAGTCCAGTCCATCTGAAACAGTTGAGACATCCCTTCATACATTTCAAAGTACCGCTTCCTCCTGTATCACCACAGCCCACTACCTTCTAGGCTAGGAAATACTGTGAGAGGTTCACAACTCAGATAACTGAGAAGGTGGTGTGGGCTGACTGGCCCACCCAGCCACTCTCCCACTCTACCTTCTCAACAGGATGGGGAGAAAATCAGCAAAGAAAACCCATGAGTTCAGATAAAGACAGGGAGATCACTTACCAGTACAGTCACAAGCAAAACAGTCTTAACAGGGGAAAGTTAATTTAATTTATTGCCACAATTAAAATATATTTGGGTAGTGAGAAATAAATACAATTTAAAACAATACCTGCCCCCCACCATGCACCCCACACCAGTTGTAAAACTGGTAATACCCTCATTCCACAGATCTCTTCTCAGTAGGAGATTAAGAAGTTTCTCACCTCCATCTCCTTCCAGGTACAAAACCTCAGGTGTGGTAGCAGCTTTGTCAACAACCAAGAACTGTTGTTATACCAGTTTCCATTCAGAAGATAACCAGCACACTGAAGATAAAAGCAAATAAACATGGTTACCATTTTAGCTTTTATTATATGTGAGCTCAGAGCATAAATAGCACCAAGATCAGCTATAAAAAAAAACTGCATACTGAAAAAAAACAACAAATACCAACCCACATTTACCATTCAAAGTGAACCACTTCAGCCAGAAGAAACTGCAATCTTGAGCTGCAACTTTGACAGCTGTCTCCTGGAAGCAGCTTCACAGAAACTTCACTTCCTCTTCTGTTCTTTCTCCATTCTGATCTCTTGAGTATTCTCAGAGGTAAGTGATCCTAAGAAAACATCCAACACCCAGTGAAATAAGAGCTAAAAGCAGAAGCCAAGGAGGAAGCACCTGCACACTTCAGAAAACTGAAGAGTATCATCTTTACAAAACATACATAATTAATTCACATTTCTCCTTTTCATTTCATTTCAGCTTTAAAAGAAATATCTGATACATTGTTACATTTATCCCTGAAAGAGCAATGCCCATTTAAGTATAACTGAATTCTTACCAAATCGCTTTAGGAAGTAAACACTGGACACTCAGATCTATGACAAAAGAATTTCTAGGCCATGTTTGTGCCTAATTCCCAAAACCATAGTTAAACTGCATATTTTTTGCCTTTTTTTTTTTTGGGGGGGGGGGGGGGGGGGGGGAGGTGGGAGGTGGTTAAGGCAATTGAGATTTCTTTTCCTCCCACTGCTAACTGGTGATTTTTCTCAAGTTGTTTAAAAAAAAAGGAGGGGGGGGTAACCGTGAGAAGCAAGAATGCCTGCTTTTACCATTACATTTTTAAGTTGCTTATTCCTTCTCCCAGCTCCCATTCCTAACACAGCTTAAATACAGCATGCTTGAGGGTGTCTGTTCTAAGTGCTGCCAGTTCACTCAGACCGTGGACACAGTCCATCAAGTTTTCATACGGGAAGACTTCCATCTTCATGGTGGAAAGCAGAATTCTACAAGCCATCCTTGAGGAGAAAAAAATGAGGAACTCTGCCACCAGTAAGAACACAAATGCAGCCAACACTACTTGGGAGCTTTTAAAAAAGTTGTTTTTTTTTTTTCTTCTGCTCAAGAAATACTACTGGACATGTGCACAGCCTCAGAATAAATCCACAGCTTAGTTAGAGCATAGATTAGAATGACCAAAGCCACAGCAGAAGGCTTCCTCAGTTTTTGAGACCTGACCATTTTTGATGCCATTGGTTTCACTAATCCAACACAAATTCCACACACAAAATTTGTTTTACAATTTACCTGTATCTAGACTTGACATGACTCAGCTGTTCATAAACTATGGTTTGCAGATGTTGTCATTGCCATGCTGTTAAGTGGCCAAGTCAGATAACACGAATGAAAAGGAATTGCCTTCATGTTATGGGAGAGGTGGTACATAGTGATTTGTAAACAGTGTTGGAAGACCACCTACAGATGAACAGAATTGACAGACCTTTGAGGGTCTGAACATGTAGGTGTCAAAGGACAGTTTGGAGTGTTTCTGGTTCTGGACAAAGAGAGCAAAAAATAAATTGGAAAAGGCTTTTTTTTTTTTTTTTAATGTTAGAAGGGCTAGAAGGATATACTAACATTCCTTCGTAAGAAATTTTTGCAGAACTAGGACATCACACACTAAGTTGCCACTTACTCCGTAAAAAGCATACATCTGAGAGGCCTTTAGACCAAAACTCACCACTTGCAAAATATTTACCTTACAAAACATTTACTTTAAGAAAATGAACACTCACAGCACAAAGATCAGGAGGCACCGCTGGCCTACAGTTTCAATATACCATACAAAGACAGCAATGCACAGATGACTATTCGTTAACATTTTGGTAGATACTCATAACATTGAGATCTGTCTAGGCACTAAGTATGTCATCAAGGAGAGCAAAGTGAGATAGCAATTTTAATACTTCTTGGAGAGATTGACTTTTACTCTATGTCAAAAATATTTTTTGCTTTTGAAGAATAAAAGCTTTATAGAAATTGTGTTGTCAACCTTTACTCTTCATTTCATTCCTGCACGTCCTCCCATAAGACCTTACACACTGTCTTCATGATTGTCCTTTGCAAGATCCCTTTGGACACGGACACTCAGTATTTCTCCTCAAAAATCTTCCAAGTGTTTACAATCATTCCTTTAAAGACTTCTCAGAAATCACATCAAACCACTTCAGAAAATAAACATATCGTTTATCACATTGGTTAGAAATGGAAGGAGATAGTAAGATGTAATATCTTACACTGGAAAAGAAAACAAACCCACCCACACTTCCTGTCACATGAAGGGATTTCTGCCTTTCCCTCTTTCTCCCCCCATTTCATACCTTAGTTGTTGCTTGCTGGATAGACCTGCTGGGTAGCTTCTGAGGTAAAAAAACAACACAGCCTGTTTTACACAATGTTTTTCATCTGTTAATGAGGCATGCTTATCCCATCACTGCAGATGGGATAGGCTCTAAAGTTTATTCCCAAGAAAGCTTTGTTTGGAAGGGAAAGGCAGATCAAGGAGGATCTTCTCATCAGAGATCCATGAAGAGTGATGGCTTTTCAAACCCTCATGCTCTGCTACACCACATTTTCTGTCCCTAACAGAACACGTTCTTTGTGTCTAATCTTAGAACATATCTGTTTGAATAAGTTTAAGGGAATAAATTGTAGGTTTGCCAACATACAGCCAATTGAACAGCCAGCTACTATCCACAAACAGAATTAGGAACTCAAGTGGCATGAATAAAAAGAGGTCAGTTTGGCAATATAAAGCCCTAACAGCAGGCAGGTATTATCCTTATCCCCTTGTTTTCTCAAGTAACAATTGTCCTGTGAAATATGGCGCCCTGATGATCATCCAAGTATGGCCAAGTCAAAAAGCAAAGAAAAATATTAATTAAAGGAACATATGGACTTAAGATCCAGCAGAGACAAAGAAAATCTGACAGAAGCAAATCTCACCAGTATTTACTTGTGCAGTGAACTCGCTGCTTTCAACAATATAACAGTTATACACGAAGTATCAGAGGGCCTGAGGGTAAAGGACTCACATGAAAGCTCTAGTAAGTTTGATGGAAGAGACTTGGCAGGAGACTGAGTGTGTTTGAGGTAGACAGAGCTGAAGTCAGAAGGATGACTGGAGCAGCAAGTTAATTCTGTTGAGAAGAAGAGGTGTTTTCCTTGGTAACATGTAAAGAAAGAGAGGCTACGCTCCTGGTTGCAGCTCAAAGAGGAGCTTCTTCTTGCCATTAGAAAATAAAGACGCGTGTCTCAGACTAGTGGAAGACATTGAGTTGCCTTTGGTACTCTCCAAAACTTGAGTGGCTCTGTTGGTTTTGAGGGCAGGACAGGCTTTCCTTTTCTTCCATACATGTAAATTTCCACCATGATCTCACCCTATCCACTACTGTCTCTGATACTAGAACTGTGCTGAGCCTTTGTGATGGTCTTCCAACCCCTTTACCAGGTCTAGGACCTCCCCCAACAAAGCCTTCTCCAACCGTCCCCACAGGCACTCATCTTTCACACTTTCAGGACCTTTTTCCACGTAGACTCCCTGGACTTGTCCTACTTGTTCTCCTTCTGCCCCAGCAACCACTGCTTTCAAGTAGCCCTTGTATTTCTCCCCTCAAGTCCCCATAACCACAACACAGATAATTTCTTTAAAATAGAAAGTAGTTTACATTTGAATAGGAGTACTGTACATTAAATTACTATATAAATATATAATATACACATACATATTCAAACATTTACATCTCTAAACTCTGTACAAGCTGCAACAATCTTCATACCACATGACCAAGTTTGGGTTTTTGAGCAGTGCAAAAAGGACTCATTGATATCACTGGTTTTCATCCAACAGGCTGCTAGCCTTGAATAAGAGCTACAGATGTGTGCCTTACTGTCTTCTCTACGTTTTTGCAAAAAAAAATATTTTTGCATGCACATACATAAGCACAGCCTTTCTTGTCAAGCTAACCAATCAGCCATATGGATAACCAACAATGTGAATAGATTGGAGAATAATTTGTTCATTTACAGTGATGTGGAAGCTCAGGGTTTCTAGGTTTGCAAAATGAACACTTGAACAAAACAACAAGAAGACAAAGAAAACATCAGAAAAACATCTGCAAATCCAACACAATGTCATAATTAACTACTTTGAACCAAGCTACATAGTTTTCTCAGTAAAAAAATCAACCTTACGCATTCGAGTCAAACAAATTTAAGTGCATTGAAAGCGGTATTGTTTACAAGTAATTTTTTTTCCCCAAATATGCGAGAGTTTCTCTGTAAACTTTAAAAGGACATTAGTGAACTAATATGTTAATCTGAATACAGGTGCTGGACACGGGTGATCAGTCAATGCTCCCAATTAGAAACACGCACAAAGCAAATGTAAACATACTCTTCAAAGAGGAAATACAATACTAACTTAAAAGACAACACAGTAACAAACTGGAATATGTATTTAGATGATAAAGAACTGAAATTCAGTGAAAATGAAGGAAGCTGGGAAAAAGTCAGTATTATCTGAAGAAGCATTTCAAATAAAATTATTCTGTGAACAGAATGACAACTCTCATCCCCAGCTTTTAAGAACAGGTAAGTCTTCTCATCATCTTCAAATTTCTCCCAACTTTTCATTCTATTGTTTTCAGGGTACCAGGCAAATTAGGCTCTAACATTAATTTAATTGCCTGTAACTCAAAAAGACTAAAAGATTTCCTCCACTTGTGAGCACTAAAAAAACAGAAGTACCTTCAGAAATATTGTTCAGCACAGGATTAGATTGTAGCTAATGGTGGGAAGAACGGTGACTGTTAAATAACAGATCTGTTAATGAACTGATGATGAATGATGAACTGATGGAAATGTAACTTCTCTTTCCTTATGTTTTTATACCAGCCACGAATCTATTGTCTTCTTTAAAGAAAACTAGAACTGAAACAATCTACTGCTGGTCATCATTAGCTGCCAGCTTATTTCAAGAATAAGCATTCTGAAAAATGAGGAACAATTCTTCAAAAAAAAACCAAAAAAAACTATAATAATGAGAACGATGATATTTTGGAATGCCTTAGTTTATGAAAAACAGAAGGTGATGGAATCACTGAATACAGCAGTGTAGAAGGAGGTACCCATCCTGGTATATAATTACTAAATTTGAAAATTAAAAAATGACTGCTGCCTGTGTGCACTAGAACTATGACTATAGCAGAGAACATCCATTCTGGACATAGTTTCACAATTAACAACAGCAAAAATACAAAAGAGTGAGCCTTGTGGGATTGACCTACCCAGAAACGAGTGTCACACTATGAAACAAGTCAGTGCAGAAACAAGTATGAGAGATTCCAAAGAACAGAAGATTCTCTATGCACTTGCATATACTGGCTCTTATTAAGTAAGAGCATGATCTGTTGGAAAGTTCTGATTTAAGCTAACCAGTACACATTAGCCTTTAAATGAACAGCATTAACAGTAATATGAATAATGAATAGCATTAACAGTAACAGTTAACCTCACAGAAGCTAATATATTTTAAGGTAAGATTAAGCACCTACCTAACAGGTGCCGCTTGCAAAGGTATTAGGAATCCAATTTCAATGTATTAGGAACCCAGTATTTTACGAACCTAATTTCAATGTGACTTTCAAAAGTTTTAGCTTTAAATATGCAAAAGGAAAATAAAAAATAATATTAAATAGTCACTATTTAAATGAGGTTTGTGAATGTCTTGCATACATATTAATAAATGTAGCCATTTAAAAATTTAATCCTTAAGTTCATATGATAACCCTAACACTTTCTTTATACATAGGTCAACCCATCTTTTTCCTCTTTTTTTTTGTTTTGAGAATGGAAAAGAGAAAATCCTCCAATTGCATTCTTGTACATCATACAGAAAAATATCAAATTTTATGACCAAGTTCTCAAGTACTTAGCAGGAACCACTGGTATTACTGTACTATGGATGCTGCTCTAAAAATTCAACATCTGAAAAAAACAGTATAATTGTTTGACTTGATACCTATGTTGGCATCAGTTTCATTTATTTTATTGCTTTAAATGGATTCCAATTATTATTTTTTTTTTTGAAAAAGCATGTCTATCACAGATTACAAAATTCAGTCCTTGTCACTTATTACGGCTTTGACTTAAGTGTTGCCAAAAGCTGTCTCTTGACCATATTCAACTTTTTAAAGATTTCTGGTAATTATTTAAGTAATACAGACCACTTCAGTCCTAGAACTGCTACTCCTGAAAAAGACAAGATTGTTTTCTGAATGTTATAGTGATAACATCTATTGCTTAGATTTACATTATTACTTGCTTTGTTTTCTTGGGCCTCTGTTAGTAAAGTATCTGTAAGTCTTATATCACAAATGGCAGCAGGTTAAGTTGTATTTATGTCAGCTGATAGCTTAAGTGAATAAAGCAAAAGGTAGAGAAGCTGAAACTGCAGCATCAATTATTTTCTACAAGACTCCTGCTTTTAGATGTTATGACCAACTGTTGTTACAGTACCAGTGCAAGTGCTGACAAATCTCATTATAAAGCTAGAACATAAGTTTAAAGATATCAAAGTTAAAAACATTCACTGTTACAATTCAGACTTGTATTCATCATACAGCTAAGTTCACCTGGCAACCTCACCTTTCTCCTCTCTTTGGATCTTCACATCATTAACATTATGATCGGGTCAAAGTCGCTTTTCTTAAATATCTGTGTCCTTCGTCACTTTGAAATGTACCATCTTCAACCTTCATTTTGTCACAAAACTATTGATGCATTGATACACTTTGCTGTTGGATTCTGTGGTCTGGGAGCTGGCAGATTTTATGGTCTCTATAGTGCTGTAATAGTCGTGGGTCTCAAGGAGAAAAGCAAACCCAGCATTTTAATGCATATTCTAAAACTAATTATGGAAGACCTTCAGAAATGCTGACCAAAATGAGCCATGTGAATAGCGTCCAAACTACTCAAAATATGAAATAAAAAGAGCTGGTGTTCCACATGGTAACTGGATGACCTGGAAATGGCAGTGAGTCACATCAATTGTATATCAAAACAGCTGTCTGTCAGAACTAGTGTACAATATGCCCAGTCTGAATGTCACAATACCATTTTAAAAGAATGGCATTACTTAGAGTACCTGCCTTTCCTTTCAAGACACTTAGAATCCTCTGCTTTGAAAAATCCTTTACAGTCTTCACAGATTTAAATAGAGGAGGATCTCTGGCAGTCTCTGATTTTATCTGGCTCCATGGATAATGCTTTTTCTCTTGGCTCTTCTTTAACGTGGCTTACACAGATAACACCCTCTGTATTTTCTTCAGCTTAAAACAAAACAAAACCAAACATTAAAGTTCAAACTCCACCGATAACACTTCAGCCCAAATTACTGCATACATTTAAGAGAAAAATAGTTCAGGAACTCAAGCTAATAGGTAAGTCATTTGTGAAGTTACCTGCTAGTTAGTTTGATAGTCAGTTATACCATGTACTGTTATGTAAGACATTGCAAACTTAAATGAATTTACTACAGCAAGTGCCCCCGTGAGTACAAATATTTAAAAGATTTCAGTCCCCCAAATGACGATGCTACGTTTACTTTCCTCCCAAATGTCCTTTTCCTTCCCCATGGAAAAATAAACCTACACCTTATAATTTTTTGTTTTTTGAAGGGGCTGGAATAGAGGTGCTATTGCTTAAAAATTTAATGCTAAAGCATGTTGATTTAAACAATGACCTAAACTTCAGGCATGACTGGCTACTGGTTAGTGACTGCATATACATTTTCATCAGGAAATAGCTTAAGTTAACACGTGGTTAAGAAAAAGTCCAGAACATAAAAAACAACTTTAACCAAGCACACATGTGCACACACACACACAGTAGAAAAAGTATCTTGAAATATAAACTGACTGAACTGGTAAGCAAGTGTTTCATCCAAATAATCTCTGTAACATTACTTCCTCTTCAGTCTAGAATGTTTTTTGTCCTCCTGCTCTCCAGATAAAGAACTAGGCTCTGGAAAGTAGGAACTGGATGGAAGTATCTGCACATTTTATAGGCAAGTTTCCCACATAACTTATGAATGGTACCAATATTCTCACTATTTCAAAATCCAGGGTGGTGAGATTGAGACGTTGAGCAGAAATCCCAAAGAACAGTGAGTTCAGTTCCTGCATTTATATAATTTAGATTTTATATTTGGCTACACTTCTTTTTATAGAAACTAGTATTTCTTTAAAAAATAACCTCAAAACATTAATCACTTAAACAATTATTTGAGACGTGTCAATATCTTGATTGAACAAATGGGTTAAACAACTGAATGAAGGAGGTACATTTGATAACTTTTCTGAAATTCTTTTAGCAAAAGGGAAAATAGAGTTTTTTTCAGAAGAGCAGAGACATCCTATTATGGGAAGGAGACAAGCTATACAGACATTTGAATATAGCCAAGAGAAAATTCTTAAAATTAGCCCTGACAATAACATCACAGTAAAATGTCCTAATGTTACTTCAACAAATCCAAATTTCTGCAGGTTTCCTCACATACCCTACAATTTCCTTTTTACTTGTTCATGTATTCTTTTATCTCAATTTTCTTAATTTCACATAATTTAGTACAAATTAAGTTTCGCTGACCTGTAAAAGTCATCAGGACTTATGGGGATAATTATAGCTATGGCATTACAAAGGTGTAGGCAGATCTAGCATATGTTTACCTATATTTTTCTGCAAAACTGCTCAGGAGCCATCTTCTCAGAAATCACAGATGACAAGATAAAGTAATACAAAAATTAAAAAGCGAAGCATTGCACAGCTAACATCTCAGACACTCTGGGAAGTCAAAACAATATGTTGCACTGATATATATGCTCCATATCTAATAGGTTTTCTTCACATGGCGTAGAAATCTTTCTTTTTGAAAGTAACACTTCATTCTTAACCAGGTCCCATATCTGAGAATTCAAAGACTGTATCTGTATCTGAAAAAAGTGGCCTAAGGAGCCTTCTATTTTGTCTGAAAGTTATTTAAGATGTTTAACATACATTTTTAGAGAAGTATTTTCAGACAAGTTTGAAATTTCAAGCAATTATACAACTCCAACTGATCACTCCTAAAGCATATTGATGACTACAGGATCCTAGTTAAAATTTACTAAAAAAACAAAGCCTGTAATCTGCTGGGATTGTGCAAAGAAAGAAGGCACCAAAAAACACATTTCTTTCCAAAAAGTCCTAACCAGATTCAATATTGGTTATTTTCTAATCTTATTTTTCCTAATAAAATGTTACGTTTGAAGATGGTCATTTTAGCTAAATGCTAGGGTTTCTGGGGGGGCAAGATTAGTGCTCATTAAATAAGATGGTATTTTTTTCAAAGGAAGTGGTAAGTAGTTAAACTAAGCCATTTTTTACAGCAAAGCCTACATGTATTTTACAGTCACATATTTTTACAGTAAAAAATAATTAAAGCCAACTGAAACAAGCCTATGCAGAGCATTATCAACACATATCTCTACTTTGCTCTAAGACACATGGAACAAAACCCACTATATTTTCTGTATTTGTGTGTTATTGGGAAGAATGAAACTTACTAAGTGCAGGATGGCTATCCACAATCCGTACTGGAATAGTCTGTACATCTCCCAAAAGAATCTGCTGGACTCCTCCTTCCAGGCTTCTGGAATCATCTAGCCCTTCAACTGCTACCAGCTGGCCCATGGTGACCAGACTCTGATTAGAGCCAGGTGGAGTCCCATAAGCAGAGTCAGCTGCACTATGCTGTGCTAGGCCAGCACCTGCTTGCAGACTGTGCCCCTGACCAAGTATTAGAGAATGGTTTGTTATTGCACTCCCTGTGGAATCCAAGAGATTTGCAGAGCTGGGACGGGAATGATTATTTACAGCTATCAGGGCTGTTGATTCATTTGTGGAGGTAGAAGTTGACTGCAGCTGTAATCCCTGTGAAAGAGAAGGCAGAAGTACAAATAAACCAGTACACAGCAGGAGTAATTTACATTTGATGACAAACATTTTGCAGTGCTGGAACTGGATAGCTTCTGACTATGTCACCTCTTTTGAACAGTCAACCTCAGCATCTGTGGACTAAACTTGTATTTGAAAAAATAATCAGACAATGGTGTCCAGCAGCATCTCTAAGACTACTTATGACCATAAAGCTCTAAAATTAGACTGAGATTCAGTTCCAAATTGTTATAAATGGCTCAGTCTTCAAAATAGGACTATAATCAAAGTTTATAATTTATTAAAGGAATAGAGGTAAGCAAACAGCACTGGGTGCACCGGGAGTCTCTGCCGTCTTTGTCTTTTAGTCGTTCTTCAGCTTTCTCCTTAATCTCCTGGTCAGATATCAGAGACTTGCATAGTGTCCCATGCAATAGTCATAACAGCTAGCAGTTATTCTGAAACCCCCCAGATATCAGAGACTTCAAGGAAAAGCCTACAAATACGTTTCCCTTCAAGCTCTCTATTGACACGAATTGCTAAAATGTTCCTTTGCAAGATACAAGAACTATTTACATTAACCACTCTGTTTTGTTTTTTGTTTTTTTTTTAGACTTGTGGTTATACAAGGGTATGTAAGACAGTAAGACAGAAGGTCACATTCATCATACCACGTGGCCCTAGCATTGTTCCATATTGACACGAATCAGGTGAACACATTTCACAAAATCATTCCCCAATACTGCCCGCCCATCCCCATGATGGGTGGGCAGTAAAAGCTAAGCATACTGCTTTAAAGGAGACTTGGGTAAAGCCAAGGCTCTCTTCAGCATGAGAAGGAAACAGCAAGTAGAACAGCATTTTACTGCAGGCTGTATTTCTATGGAAGAGATCACACATTTTGGGGTTCAGAAGGTATGAAGGTAGCTTTTCAAAGACCTTTGGGAAGAAGGTTAAGAGACCCAGATTTCAAGAGATAGGAGCTTTAGAAGCAGTTTGTTTGGCATGGTAGTCTTAACCTTACACCTCAGCCTTTCCACCTGGAAGTTCATGCATCTGAGCTGAGAGCAGTTTTATGATTTTAACAGATTTTCTTATGAGGCTGGAGAAGGATTTAGAAGGAATGAGTTTGACTTATCCTCCCTCATTTTTGCAGCACTTTTATCATGAAATCAAATAGGCATTTGATTTGAGGCAGAAGCTCACTACTCTCCTCTCCTTGGTTTTGCCTCTTGACATCATAACTTCAAAGTGGCAGTGAGATGCCCTGCACTACAGCTAGATGTGACATATTAGAGAAGCCAAAATAGGAGTTGACAGCTATTGCAAAGTTGTTATTCCCTCACAGCCAGCATTTGGGATCAATAGTTGAAGAAACTTGGTATTTTCAGCTTGCCTTCAGCACTCCCAACACAGAAGATCTGACATTCTGTAAACAACTTGACTGTACCTGAAGTTGTGCAAATATCTTGGGCTGAAGTGAAGATAATGAAGACAACAGCCGAGCTGTTTCTGGTAGCAAGGACTCCCCACTCTGGTTGGATTCTCCTTTGGTGACAACTGACTCTGCTGGTGAGCTCCCTACAGTGCCAGAGACAATAAATAGACAGTTGTAACAGACTTCCTCCTCTTGTTTAAAAGCCTCCCCTGTAAATGGAACAAACCAAGCCCCTTTAACCTCAATACAGACACATAGATATGCATATACACATATATGCTGTTCTTTTTTGCAGAAGAGCTTGCAAAAAGAAAAAAAAAAGTCTTATTACAAGAAAAAAAGATACCGTTATAGGAAGATGGCACATCTCTGTTGAGAGTGAAAAAGAAGCAGTTCTGCAGAACAACATAATTGTTCCCTACCCTGTGTTTTGAATTTCTAGTTTTAACAGAAAAGCTGAAACATTTCTATCAAAACATCAATTAAATAATTGGATCACACATACACCTTCAGCAAGGGCTCAATAGCAAACAGGCATCAAAAGAAAGGACTGTCTTACAAAATAAAAAATCTACACAGGAAATCCTGCAAGTCTTCTCGTTCCTTTCCAAAGTGTATTTGAAGAATTAGAACAGCTTCTAAGCAATATCACATCAAATATAATTTTAAAGAGAGACTATTTATTTGGGGGTCGTTCAGCCTACACATTCCAACATTGGTATGAATGCCACAAGTTTAAAAAAAATACACACACATACTGTATTTTTTTCACTTGCCAGCATACTTCATAACAGATGTAAAAGGGAAAAATGACTTAAGAATTTTGATAGTGACAGTGATTCTTACAGCTAGGAGTAAAGAGACAAAGTAGAATCATATGGTGAAGGATATTCTTCATATGCCTAGAATTTGCATATGTTAGGCAAAGACATGGAGTTCTGCACAGAAAAGGAAAGAAACAGCTGGATCTTAGTTCTGTTATTGTTTGATTTCTTAAATGTAAATTTGTCCCTATTCAGCACAAGTTGAAATGAAAAAAAAAGTATGCAAACAGTAGTTTGAGAAGTCAGTGTTGTTTTCCCTGCTATCACTTCACATTCTTAAACACGAGCTGGTTTCAGTCAGCCTTCTTTTTTCACTAAGACTTGTAATATAATTATAATAATGTATCTGCAATGTGTACAAACACATCCTCACATAAATTTAAGTGGAGATGAGATATGCTGAAATTAGATTATCTGCTTATATTCACTGAATTGGCACACGTGCAAAAAGCCAAATGCATCCAACATCTCTAACTCCCTCTAAAGCCCAGCGTGTGATCTCGCTGAATGGATGTTTGTTTACATATTTGATAAGCTATTTTGCCTTGGAAAACTATCTGTGAAAGATGAAAAAAAGCAAGAATTGATCTTTCTGAACCCTTACCAGCATTCAGACAGTTCATACCAAAAGTCAACTCTGCTGAGCTCTATGACAGTGGTTAAGTCACCACTATTCTGTTTCTCTCCATAAAAGCACAGTAATGGAAATATTAACATAGGTGGTAAGTTTAAGCACAGTAAATCTGCTTATACTGCAAATTCCTTCTTTTCTAAAAAGAAAAACAAAAAACAAACAAAAAACATTATTCACATTGAGCCTAAAAATTTACTTCTTGTCCTCTGACAGTTGTCAACACAAATTCATGTCCTAAGTGCTCCAAGTACATAGGATGCATTTCAGTTTAATTGGATTCATTGTAGCAACAACTACAACAAGAGTTGAAAAACAAAACAGAAGCCCAAGTTTACTCTTTTTACTAACTCTAAGTGAATTAATGTACATGAAATTGCTCAAGAGAGAAGTCATACTGAGCCAGAATTCTGGGGTTCTACTTTTCCTGCTATAACGATGATAAGAAATAGATCAGGGAGTGACAGGGGTCAAAAGGGGAAGATGCCCAAACACATCTGAACTTCTTCAGGCCAGAACTACAATGCTTCTTCAAGCAAGAACCACAGCGGAGGATAACTTGACTTGAATAAATCTTTAAGCGTGACAACTATGAGAGTGCCCCTTTGATCCCTGGGAGTTCTCTACCCACTGGAATAAAAAGTACTGAACACTATGTTCCAGTTAAATGAGGAAACAAGCTGGCACTGCTACCAACTTTAATAAAATTAAGAAGTCTGCAGTCTATCTTAACGTAATGCATGCAAATAATTAGACTCTTCTACCTCGCTGCAATCACATCTTGCTGCTAAAGCTGATTTTTCTGATGAGCGTCATATCAAAGCTATTAAAGAAGGGATGCAGAAAATATCCACAAACATGCAGGGAAGTTCATTCAAGCCACACTGACTAGACAAAACATCCTTGAAAATGAAATGTCCATGAAATCTGGACAAAAATGTAAGAATATAATTATTTTAAATTTATTAACATCCACCATGATCCAGTAGAGCACCTCAACCTATGTGGAGTCCTAACCACGTGGATAGCATTTAGGTCTAGTTACAAACACCTTTACTTTTAGTACATGTTTTGAAGTTGAAGTAAAAGTTGCATGAAGCCGCTTTCAACAAAGAAAGTGTAATTACATGGTGTAGTGGTGTAAATACATGGTGTAATTAGCTTCTTTAAAAAAACACAGTAGACCTTAGACCACAAACATGGACATAACAAGTTTCCATAGAAGTCTACTTTGTGTTTTCACAACATTATGAAAAATAAAGTGTTCTCAATTTTGACAATAAAATTACAGCATTAGTTGTTCAGATCCTGACCCTGGCAGTGGAAATCAAGAAGTCAACAACTTCCTGAGAAGAACGAATCTCAAAATGCATTCAAGTCCTTTTTAGCAAAATATTTAAGCACATGCCAAGCAAAGACCATCACGGAATTCAGATACTCAGTTGGCCCCAGATCTACTACCTGATTGATATGAATATTTCTTCAGTAGGAAATTCATTTTCTTTTCCTACACAGGTGTTATTAGCACCATCATTCAAGGCAAAATGCTCTTTCAAAATAATCAACCCTTAAAAATTTTCAGTTGCTTGAGGATACGAAATAAAAAATAAACTTACAGTTTTCATACTTTTGTCAGCTACATCAGGGTTAAACGTTTTTTCTGTATGTGCAGTCAAATAGTACAAACAAAAAAAGCTTGCCCTTCTCTGCCTCAAAACAGACAAACCAAAATAAACCTCCTTATATTCAGCTGAGTTAGAGAACTTGTCAGCAACCTCTCTGGATGGAAACAATTTCTGTGACATCGCTAACAAAACAAATCACATTTGGAAACAACTAAGTTATTAATACAGTCCTACCAGCTGAAGTTGGTGAGGCAAAAGTAACAGTCACTGTTTCTGTGAGAATGTTCCCACTGTCTGTGGTCCACTGCAACTGAAAGGAAAAAGATTGCAGTTCTCAGAAAGAGTCTGTTGTCTACTACAGGAACATAGGGTCAATTCAGGACCCACAAGAAAACAGTGGTTTTTTTTGTTTTTTTTTGTTTTTTTTTTTTACTAACTGTGAATTTTGGCAGTTTTTGGTTTACAAAAATAAAACACTGCAAACTGTTTTTGTAATATGCACTATATCAAGAAGGCTAAAGTTATCTTGTGAAAATTTGAAGACTGAAATAAAAAAGTCAAACTATTTGGCTAACAAATATCACTCATTCATCTGGGACAAACGCAGTTTAGGGAGAGGAGGGGAAAAATTATAATGCAGCATCATTTAATACTACAGTTTTGCAAAACTGTTTTTAAATCAGCAATTCCTTTGCAGTCAACCTCATAACTGGAAAAACTAGGATCATTCTATCTCTTACTGCTCAAGAGGTGGAAGAAAATAGAGGAACAACATAAGTTACCCAACATTCTGACATATCTACTTCAGGCTTATTTCACCTGCTATAAAGCGCATTCGATGCTGTACAAACCCTAATTTAGGTTCCACCTCAGACACACTTCATCCCAATTTTTCAGATATGGAAAAGGAGTAACTCCTCCAACACATAGATAACAACAAAGCCATGAATAAAATTTTCTGCTGCATGTCCATTTTTCCATACCACATGGCTTCCAGTTCATGCAATCATCATGCAAGAGTATCTTTTAATGTGTCAATCAACTAATAGCAATCTAATGCTGATGAGATAAACACTGAAAAGGTTTTATTCACATTTAATCTAGTCTTGCTCAGCAAGAGATTCCACTGAAAATATTGCTGCCGGAAATAAAAAGTCATAGAATTGTAGATGAAATGCAACTAAAAGTAAAAATTAAATGAGACTTTCAGTATTCGACCCAAGAATCAAAAAGAAATGCTAGGGCCAACGTACCGTTGCTGGAATGCTTTCTGAATTATACACCACATCGCCATTTCTCAGGGACTTCTGCACTTCATGAATGTGGTTCTTGATGTCGTTCACAGTGGGGAAGAAGGACAGGTTATGCCTCTCCGGCACTTCATCAGGTTTGAATAATTCTCTTTCTACATATTTTCTGTCGCATGTTAAAGGACAATGAAATTAAAATTAAAATATGTATATTTAAGATATATTGTGCTATTTCTTTGTTACAACTGCTGCTACCTTCACCCTCTCCTTCTTCTGTTCACAACAGAAGAGTATGCAAAAATAACTTCTGATCCAGTCCTCTGGGTATCTACTCTAGAGCTCAGAATTAAAAATCCCCATTTACTCAATTAACTTTAGAGAGGACAGTAGCTCTTAATGGTTGTCTATAATAAAATGAGAAGACAAAATCTGGAAAAAAAGCAGATTCTAACAACATATGGGAAATACATTCTTTTACACATCAGTACTGCCATTTAACTGCAAACCAAATTAATCAAACACAAAAGCAGGTATAGCACTACAGCTTAAGAACAATGCCAGACATCTCTGTACCTCAGTTGTTTCCTCACTGCATAGACTTGCTCTATTCCCTGAGACACCAGTTCTCTGATCTTGTCTGCCACTTGAGGATGAAGTCGGGAAGGCAGAATACAATTCTCATCTCTAGCAACTTCTTCCTCCTCCTCAGGAGAAGATGCAGAAAACTGGGAGGGCGAAGAAGGGAGGCAGGAAGTTTCCATTTCGTGATACTGGTGGGCTTGCTGAGTGGGTAACTGTACATACCACCTGGCAAGAAGGAAGGAGCTTCTATACGCAATTCTCAAGCAAAGGCAGCAAAATGAATCTCTTGGGGAACAGCCAGACAATCATAAATGACCCAGTTAGAGTGACATAAGTCTTTACAGCCCCTCAGCTGGAAGATACTGCCCTTTAGAGCTCAGGGTCCTCTGACACCCTTCAGTGAAAAACAAACCGGTTAAATATCCCAATACATACAATTATTTCTACTTATTCCCTGCATGGAAACATCTGCTGAAGTTCCACATCTTAGCATTTAACACATTTACCAAGTTAAATAATCCAGAGCCATGAGTCTTACTGACATTGTGGAATTTATACTATTGATATTAAGCAAGAACCTTAATAAAGTAACTAAGAAAATCTAAATCCAAGCAAGCAAATTATTGCTCTATTTGCTTTATTGGTCAAGACGAAAAAAATAAATGCAAAGTTCACCTGAGGACACCACCAGCATCTATCGAGTTCTTCTTGAGCATGTTGAATGCTTTCTCCTGCTCCATTCTTATGATTTTCTTGTCAATTTTAGGGTCAGTAGGAACTCTGTACTCCAGAAACTTTTGAACCTTTTTAATATAGATCCTTCCAAGGGGAGGATAAAAAAAAAAAAAAAAGAAAGAAAAAAGAAATTCCTTCAAATACACTTCACCTCCAGGGGGAAGGCAAAATCCCCACCTACTTCATATTGGATATTACTATAGAAAAAATTCAAGCAGTGTTGTTCTGGGGGGTGAGGAGCCTCTAAGAGAAATTAAGAGTTTTTAAACAGATAATCAATAGAGAGGGTTGCAGGTAGATGCAGAGAGTCACATGTATGGTCCAGGCTGGAAGCCACTCAGCCAGAGTGGTTTTGCATTTCAGCAAAAATCCTCTGCCCCTCAGTAGCATAAAAGCACAACACCATTTCTGGACAAGCCGGAATTCACGCAGCCTGAAGCATAAGCTGTGTACATACACATCTAACTGCACCCGTCAAAGTACGCACACCCTTAGCTCTGCAAAAAAAAAAACAAGCATGGCACTAAAACCCAGAAGGATGCCCAAGGATAAGTTTTTTTTTGTAAAGATGACAGTCGGATAAGGAAGAAGTCCTCACCAGTGCTCAGACAGAGTGATTCCCACCTGTAGTTCATGGACTAACGTACTGCTATTTTGCAGCTAGGCAACCTATCAAATGTCAGCCTCATTCAGTTTAATAGGACAGCATTTCCTCCTTCCTTCTATATGTAAATCAACCTCAAGTTATCAAGGAGATAAAGCTAAGAGCCACGCTGCATGACATAAGCTACCCCGCAAACAGCACTGTCAATGTTTATGAGATTTATATTTTCTTAGGATGATGGTCAGTAGCTTTGTAGCCAATTCTTACCTTGCTGGACATGTGGCTTTATACAGATGGCCAGAAATCCTTTCAGGTTCACTGGCTTTTTTGGGCTGGAACCCTTTCCTTCTTGGTCCATACTGGCACTCCATTACAATGGCTCTGCTTCCTGGGAACAAAAAGCAATTCACTCTATTTGAGCAACCACAGAAGTTGTTATAGTAAAACAATACCTATGGAATAGACAAGAACTCCAAAAAAGTTATTTCTGCTTAACAGACTTCTTCAGAAGGCAGTACACTCAATTGTAGCAAGCATTCAAATACAGTGAAAATGCTTTTTTTTTACAGCATGCAAGGAACACAGAGCACTTTAAAAGCGTTTCCCAAGCCGCTATCATTTCACAATGCTCCTGGTAGATATACAGGGGCAAAAGATTGGCTTCTGACCCGATCAGCAATAGTAATTGACAATATGAGCAGCCTTGCTAGTTACCAAAGGAGCACAATATGTTGGTAATAAATACAAATAAGAGAAACAGAATCCTCCAAACTAACCAAGAAAATCCACAGCTGAAAGCAAAGGACTTTAATTAATACTTCAGACCACGCTGCCCCATAAATTCTTACCTGCAAATCTGACCTACCTTATCAGTTAAATAACACTGCCTCAGTGTGGCATACCCCCATTAACACAGACAGGCTCAAACAAAGATTGCTTAGTTCTACATTTCATTCAGATACATGACTTATTCCAATCAGACCACTTACAAAAGGGGTAACGTGCGTAACAGTGTCTGTGGTCAAGAAGAGAACCTGTATCTGTCCCATATCATGTTGAGCTATCCATTACTTACATTTCATATACACCAGTCCACTGGCAGGGAGCTGTCTATGCCACAAATGATATAACCAAAAACTTTTTAAGGTATCACAACAGCAACATAAAGTGTTTCCATAAGACACTCAATGATTTAATGCCTGAGAACATGACATTATTAGTATATATACACACACATCAGTGCATGTAAAGAGAAGGAAAATTGTGCTTAATAAACATACCTAGCCTTTTCAGATTTTGTTTAAAAAATTTGAAATCAATTTGCTATGACTGAAAAGACTTCAAGAGCTTTAAGCTAGTCCTTACTAGTATGCATGTCAAACCCAATCTGATAGGGCTCCTGTTTTACAAAGGTATTAGCAATATACAATTTTTATTAAAACTAACAATCGAGATTTTATAATTAGTTCATGTTTTATACTATGTAGAAGCTACCCAGCTTCTCCACAGCAGAAACACAGCAGGGAAGGCATTACGTTTTGGTTCCACTTACACAGAAGGGATAAGTTCCTTGAGAACAGTACTTTCGTCCTGCACAGTTTAGAATTAAGTTATCTGAGATTTAAATTACAGTTCAGAAAACCGCATTTCCAGCCTCTTTTCTCTAGATGTAAAGGTTTTTAATGAATGTTCTTCATGGAGTGCTTACATTCTAACCCTAACTGCATTGAAAAGGCAACTCATTAAAAATACACGTAATGCCCGTATGGGGATCTGAGCAAAGCAAAAATACTAAATTCTACAACTTAAAAATCAGTGTCTCTAGTAGTCTGCAGAACTTTAAAGAAGAAAGTCTATGTGTGGTTTTGTTCTAAGTATCTTACTGTGGGGGAACACGTTTATTAAGCAGATCTTACAGAAAATTAAAAATATCTCAAGTGCATTTGGGGAGCTGGAAATAAAAATGTAGATCATTTTGGTTTTAAGAAATTTCTTACCTGAATGAACTTAATTTCACATACGCATCACATGAGCGAAATGCATATTTACCTACCTCTAAGTCTCCACATTCATTAAAAAAATAAAAATAAAAATCTGTCTGCTGAGCTATGTTGATGTTTACTTCTTTTTGATTTTATAGGGGGCCACTGAATCATCTTATTGGCTCCTGTGGAACAAACTCTGCAAAGGGTCTCCAAACCAGGCAAGAATACTGGAGCAAGCTCTTACCCTTATGAAAACTTCCAAGACCTGATTGAACAGAAGGAACCTCCACCCAGAGAACTCATTCACAAGTACCATTTAATGTGGGTTGCTAACTAATTTATTTCTAAACAAAAAAGGGAACGAAACACTCACATCAAAGCCTGTGTTTTCAGGGAAACAAGCTCCTTCAGACTGTGGCATAGAGGTACCAAAGCTGCTCTTTTTTTTTTGCCTTGACTTTACTAACACTAATGAACACCACAAGGATCCTTCTTTATGGCCAACTGTCAAGTGATGTTGAGATTTTTAAAGTAGTTATTGAAATAAAAGAAGTTAGTTACCTGCATTGACAAAGGGGATCCCATCATATGGGACATACTGAGATTTCCACATCAACCGTGTGGCGGGTTTGGCTGGGCTTGGAGACTGGCGCGTCCCCCACACACTTTGTGTTTGCTGCTTGTGTAGCGTTAGAACACTCTCTAATTCTGTCTCGCTCACACAATAGCCGCGGTATGAGTCCCCAATTTTCTGCATGGAAAGGAGGTGAAATAATAGGATTATTCACCCAGCTGACTGCTCTCCATTACCCAAGAAAACAAAAGCAGTCAGGGACTCTGCATGTGAGAACACAGGCTCACATTTTTGGTGCTTTGTGTTTTTTCCTTCCCCACACTATTGTCCTCACAAGCAAATTTACCACTGGATCTAGCACCAGAGTGTTCTCCATTGAGGTCAGCAGTCTGTATGCCCTCAAAGACCCTAAGTGCACCAAGAACTCCACAAAGGTTCTCAGAGTTACTGCCAATGCTAATTTCCACAGGACACCTTGACTTGTTTTTTCCCCCACAGTGCTTACTTTTGTTGCAGTTTCCTTCTAAGACAAATTCATCTTAGGTAAACATTTTGATGGAACTGCCTCAGAGGATCTCTGAAGTGCTAAAAATTGTCTACATATCTACTTCAATGCACGGACACTGCTCTGAGGTGTAGCAGAATACATCTGCTTGTGCCACTAGTAACTGCCTCACCTGCTTAGTGCATTAGCTCTGAATTGAATGCCCCAAGCTTTAAGGATCTCTCCATTCAAAAAGCTACACAGAAGCACAACACACAAGAGTTGTCACATGCATATCAGCTATGGTTTCAATGAACTTTGCTAAACTCCAGGCAAATACAGAAAACTCGCATCTAGATCTGATTCAAAGAAGTAGTCAACAAAAACAATTATAAACAACTCATTGACTTTGCAACATCCCCTATGACAGCTGCTCAGCTGATTCGGTGCTGGTCTGTGAAGGCCTGCCAGCAAACCATGAAAATACTGGGACAGGAGTGAGCTATCCCATCCAACAGTAGCACCAGGAACACCCTGCTAGCTCATTCTTACAACATAACCAGGGAGCAAACATGTGATGAATGAATGCTGGCATCTGATGCATCCATTTTGCCACCTTCAGTGACAAAGCAGCCAGATGTTTAAATAATACTGAAAACAAAAGCAGCAACAGTATCTGTCCAAGACTATTATATCGCAATATTTATTAATGACAACAGCATAAAACTGTCTCATAGTTACCTCAGAAAAACAAAACGCCCGTGGCTAGCAAGACCTGAAGTCAACAAAGAGCAAATGAACCCCCTTCAAACAAAGTGGGGAAGCAGGCTGTTGCTGCTAGCACAATCCCCATAGGCTAAGGTTATGCATGCACTGACTGCAAGAATCAGTCTGTGGTATCAGTTTCTTACACAGCAGCAGCTCACTGCACTGTGAGCATGCTGCTCCACCACTTAATCAGGTCTGCATACACTGCAATCATGCAGCTGTAGCAAGAAAGAAACACGGGTAATTGTTGTGATTGTTTAGCCAGAGACTGTAAACAACAGACAAACAGAAATGAAGCGATCTGAAAAATGCAGAAGGAAAAAAGCCTGAGAAGTACCAGAAGTACCTTCTTTACAGTGACCTAGAATTATCCCCTCTCACAGCAGGACATGCAATACCACTCCACAGAAAATACTACATTAGCAACATCTCTTTCCATACCTTACACTGGTCACTATAAACAGCTTCTTGACCTTATTCTAGGGAGATGATAGAAAACTTACAGAACTATTGTGCCAGAAAGGTAACTGTTAAGGTACTGTCTCCTATTGTAGCTTTAATTCTATGCAAAATCCAGCATTTCACAAAATTTGGATGTGGGGGTAGAAAAAAAATCATATAGCACGTAAGATCCCCACTCTCTAGGAGCTTCTGAGGCAGGAACAAATGGATAAGTGAGACCATCTGTTCCAAACAAATAAATGAACTTAGTTTTGCATAGTTGATTAATTAAGACAGTTTTTAATTATGCTTTATTTCAGTATGCTAACACATGCTGAAAATGTGTTCTGATCCTAATGCTGAAAACTTTAAGTAGGTTAAATAAAATAACTTATTTTTTTTAATCCGTTTTTCGTTACCAAAGTAATTACCCTGAAGTAATTGGATACTTTCCAACCTTTTTAACTCCAGCCAAATGTCAAGCCAAAAAAAGAAGCAATTCCTTTTCTCCCCCTAGCCTCATCTCAGTAAGAGCACATAAAAGCTTACACTAAAGTACACACATCAAGACTGCAGTTTTCCTCGACTGAAGTAACAGCAAGCAGCAAAATGCCAGAGGCATTACACTGTCTAGGCACAGCAAGCATAAGCTGAATAGTTCAGGACAGGCAGAGAATCAACGCTAAACACGGAACTTAGCACTAGTTTTGTAGTCGCAGCTTTTACTGTCCTGGGTCTGCCTGTGCCTGCTGTACTGACTGCACTTCAGAGCTCAGCCCTGTCCAAGAACTTGGGATATACAAAGGGCAGTATGCACCCAGGCTATGCACGGCCTCACCCGCTGGTATCTTCCATGAAATGCACACAGACTTCCACTTCAAGTTTGGTTCTACTATAGAAAGGGACTGAAAAAGTGGAATTGTGAGTTAACTCATTTATCTGCATGAAGAATGGCTGGAATAAAGGTGAAGTGTTTTCTCCACCAGATCCCCAGTTTCCAGTAGGACCCTTCCACCCTGTTATTGGTAACAAAGTGTTCTGCAAGACACCAACCTCAAAGATAAATGACACTTCAGAATCCCATGGTCTCTAGTCTGTGCCCATAAAAACACACATGCATCTGAGCCATCCCCAGTGGATTTACATGAAACATGTGACTGAAACTCAGCAAAGCAACTCTGCTGATAACACACAAGGAGGGAGAGAATTTGGGTCATTCCTCCTTGGATGGGCTGAATTCTGCATGGAGAACAGCAAAAATTTATTTTTTTTTAAATAGAACTGGGAAGATTAATGCATACAGGCAACAGTTCAGCACAGAGATACTTGTATACTCAGAACACATGCAAACATTTCAAAAAATATCTTTCTTTTTTAAGAACAATAGAGAATATTATTTTTCTCTTTCTGCTGCTGTGAATTTTAAACTCAGCAGGTGAAAACTCTTATAAAAGACTTGTGTTATGGTTTGCTTCATCTAAGTCCTATAAATTGAAGCCAATAATAAATGACTCAGACAAGCTACATGGATGCTAAAATGGGAGAATACATGTCACAGTGGCAAAAGCACAGAAGTTATACAAGGGTTATACGTCTTAATGGACTCGAACAACTAACCAAACATTTGAGGTGACTCATTGTAAACCATATCTCTACCATGGAAGAGTTAATGTTATTACTTTTTGACCTCTAAATGTTTAATTGGATAAATATTGGACAACACCATTCATATGAAATAAAAGACGTAACAAAAGGAGGATATATAGATATATATATAATATATATTTAGTCAATTTAAAAAATATTTCTAAGTGGATATGGAAAGCTATTCAATTTTTAAGTCCTTTGCAGCTGCAATTTCTAGATATCATTGGCAAAACCAACAGGGAAAAACGTTCAAATGGTAATGATATCTGAAGAGGTAAACAAGATAGAATATTATTTTTCCTTTAAAAAAGTATTAAGAAAAGGTAAAAAATAAACATCTATCAGGAAGAGTTTGGTAGCAGGAAGATGAGGTAGGTGATCTCTCAAAATCCTCCCATCACTCCCTTTCCTTTTAAATGATTCATTAGGTATTCTAGCTGTTAACAACATCCTAAGTCACCAGGATATTTCTGTAGACATCTAAATACGCAACAATATGACAGCCCTGTTTAGGTCAATGCCATGACAAGGAGAAAAGATAGTTTCATTTATATCAACTATACAAATTCTCCATTTAGGGTGGTAAATTAACTGTACAAACTGCAGTTGAAAAGGATCATTTTATAGTTTCTTTGTAGGCATTTGGAAACAGAAGCATCAGCCTTTCCCAAATGTAAAGATTCTCTCTCATGAAGTGTAAGAAAATCCTAAAGCAAGTATTGGTCACCACAAAGGAAAAAAGAAAACTTGGGATAGGATCTCAGCATTTTTCAACAAATGAAAACAAGCACAGATAAGCATGCATGATAAAAAAGTAAGAATATTTAAGATATTAAGGCGCTTTGATAAGTCCCAGACCTGACCCTGGCAAGTAGTCACATGGATTTTGATTTCTATGAGACAACACAAACTAATATGAACAGTAGCAAACTTACAGCATACAGAAGAAATTTGATTCTTGCACTTAGAGTAAGTGCAACAAAAAGCGGTTTGCTCAGCAGAAGACACCAGGGCTTATGCTGTATCAAGAACAAATTTGATAACTTTGCATACACAAATGGGAATCAATGGCTCTTCCCAGAACTGTATAGCATCACAAGATTTCAGAAGCAGAATTTGTGCTTCAGGAGCTGTTCATGGCCAGTCATTCCCAAAAAAGAAAGGGATTCCATAGCATTTTACATGCTGAAATGTTTAGTAGTACCAGCTTGTAATTGTACAATTTCATAACACCCAAAATCTTGAACACTACTTATACAACTATAAACATTATTCCTGTCATGGAATAGGATCTATGTCTTGATCATGATGAAAAAATTGAATCAGAATTCTTTGTAGCTCACCTCACAGTTCCTGAGACGGCGTGCCCATGCAGGCGTGTTTGGTGGCAATTGCTGGAGAGGAATGGGAAAGGGGTCTTCCAACATCCTGAAAAATAAAATGTTGTAAATAAATAAAATAAATAAATAAATATAATAAAATAAAATAAAAATAAAATAAATAAAATGTTGAGTCTGAACAGACATCCAGGAAAGCTGATTTTTATCCTGACCCACAGCTATTAAATCAAAACAATGCATTAGATAGAACAAAACAGGGTATATGACCAAACTACAGATACTATATCAACTTGCTTTTGAATAGGTGGAGTTCATTTTTTCCATGTTCTACTTCACTGCTAAAATAATTCACAATAATTATTGCTATTTTAAAAAGCACTGTCTTCTGTGTTCAACAAGACCTCTAAGCATTCAGTATTCTCAGTATTGTTACCTAATAACAATTGCCAAAACACTGTGAAATAGATCGTTTGATTATCTCGATAACTGTCTTATGCAGACTGATGGCAGAGTGCTGACCAATAAACCAAATATCCAATGCATGTTAAATGCTGCACATTTTAGTGGATTTTAAATGAAAGCATTCACAATTAAAAATGCTAGGCATCACTGAGGGAGGGGACAGAGTTAGGTATCAAAGACAGGAAAGGCGTAACTGAACTATTTAAATTTTAGAAACTTTATTAACCAATCTGCCTGTGTGTTCCACTGAAACATACCATCAGCAGCAACTTTCTCATATATTTTACAAAAGGAAGCTTCAGCTTTCCCTGCAGCTTTTTCAATAAATCACTTTCAGCTCTTGGCATTATAACTATCTGGAGTAATTTCAGTAATTTGCACTGTGTTTCGTACAATACCCTCCTATTGTTCTAGTCAGAATACATCCAACTTGCTTTGGAATACAGGTACTTTAACTGCTTTTCTCATGTTCTGGCACATACATAAGGTCCCAGTAAACACAGTTGGCTACATATCATTCACTAATACTAAAAGTTCATAACCTCCACTCAACCATTCTGAGGTAATTTGTTATAGCCGTCACAAGAAACAAAACCCCACAAACCGCAAGAAAATTCATCAGCATTACCAGCAGGTCAAATTGACCGTTAATCCTTTCAATTCCTAACCTACCTGGTGGTTGTTTTTTTTGATACAGTGAGAGATGCCTGTGGATGTAGAATGTAACTGCTTGCACTGTCTGCTAGAGCAGCCATTGCCACAGTCTGCAAGTTCCCATCACCACACTTCTCATCTGAAACATCTTTGCAAAAATAAAACATCCTTCTGGTTAACAGCAGAGAATGGGAAAATGACAAACTATAATTAAAATTGTATGTTGAAAGAACAAACCTTTTGACATATGAAAGACAATGATTTCCAGAAGAAAATCTGTGAATCGGTACTGATAAACTCTAGGCACATATATACAGATACACCTGATAAGGTTGTTTGTACTTGGAGACTTTGGTTATGCTACTGCTAATGAATCCCCACACAACAAAGCAAATAATCAGAACTTTAAAATCTGTTTTACATTTCCACAAATCTATACAGGATTACATGACTATTTTGTTCAGCTGCAAATTGCATTTTGAGAATCTGTTCAAATTTTTTATTTTATACAGAAAATGAAAAACAGTAACAAACCTTTCAGAGTTTGACGTAACACGACAACTGAGTTTTCAGAATTATTCTGGAATGCAAACTAGTACACAGCCTTTAGCCATCCAGCTAGGCTTACAGATAAATAATCAATGCTTTCAGATTTTAGAATATATCCTTTCCTAAAGAAAAACTTAAAATTTGTGCATGTAGTTGTGCATCTCAGCACATACTTAAAACGTGACACACTGAGGGCAAAACCTTGGTGACAAAGTGGAAGTTGCATCTCATGCGCTTCACGGGAAACTGAATTTCTACCTAGATACTTCATTTCTGGCTTCACAAAAGATGCCATATCACCTGAGTGAGGTGTCTGGAAAAGATAAGAACAGGAATTCTCCTATCTGCTTTACTTGAATTAACTACTTCATTCAAAAATGAAACAAGCAGGCAGTAAAAATTGGAAGCTGCTGGTACAGTTGTCTGATATAGCAGAAATATATTTATTAATGATAAATAATGCAAGAAGCAGCTTTATCTTTCATATCTCTATTTATCTATGACACACCTCAAGTGAGCATAATAACCTTTATTTCACAGGGTTTTGTGCAACAGAAAACACTGCAAAGCATGCCAGATTCATAATCAGAAAGCAGATTCAGTAGATATGCTTTTTTGTCTTTTAACTCTGGCTAAGGAAATGAAATATACAAATAAGAGGTTCTTAAAAAAAAAATCACACAGGATGCACTTAGTCAGAGGAACACATACCCTCAAGTCCCACAGCTTAAACTCACCCTGAGTGCTAGTCACATCCAGAAGCTGACCTTGAGGAATAATCACTTGGGCCACTCCTGGCTGGGCAGAAGGAATGACATGCAGCACCTGGCCATTTTCTGACTGGCTGGCAACAATCATCTGTAAGGCAATCACAGAAAAGCATGAGTGGTGCTTGATTGTCTAGTGTTCACTGTGCAGATTGACCAGTTTTGCTTGTAACTAGAACAGGAAATATTCTGGTTGGAATTAAGGCCTGTAAATTAACTTCGTTTCACATAATAAAGGAAACTGTCTATTTAATGTCAGTTTCTTAGTCATTTACTTGATTAGAGAGGAAAAAAAAAAACAACACATACAGGATTCTACAATGAATTACACATTTATTCAGAACTGAAAGTTATCAAAAACATGAAAGTAATTCATCATTGAATTCACTGTAACCCCATTCATAGACTAGCAGGATTAATCATAACATATAAATAAATTTGATCTTTACTCCTAAGAAATTGATCTATATGGGCAATGTTTCATGCAAAAGCAGACAGAACGTAAAGCTGCAGAACTTGAAAAAACAAATTAATTAAATCTTCAAAAATCCTAGAAAAGTAAAGTGACTCCTTATGGTAAATAGTGCTACAGTTACCAAGAACTTGTTTCCAGCAATGCTATAAAAGCTAACATAACAAAATATAACCCTGTTCCTGATTTATTATTGCACTTGAAACGGGTCAGGTGTCTATAATGACAATACAATACATGCCAAGCAAACTACTTGAATGAAGGAACACTTATTTTGTAAAAAGGTAACTAAGAACTACAAAGCAACATTTTGAGTAAATTTAAAAAAAAAAAAAAAGATCTAATGGGTTAGCTTATTGCTAACATCTGAGTCCCAAGAAAATAGACACACACATCCCAGGAATACAGAGAAAGCAGCAGCGGTAGAAGAACGAAATCTCATCGCCCAATAACATCCAGGCTGAGTACTGACAAAAGACATGACACTGTCATTTAATAAAATTTGTTATGGCTGGAGACAGGGCTTGCCAATGAGAAAGAGCAATTGGAGCATGAACTGAACCACTGAAAAGTCTCACCTTGTTGCTCAAGACTGAATTAATTGGCTGTTACAACAAACAAGCACCCTATATAAGGGTCCTTCAAAGAGCTCCAATGCCACAGACTTCCCCACCTGCCCTGCTTCAGATGTACTCACCATCTGCGTGCTGGGCCCTCCTAGGGGCTGCAGCTCATAGAGAGGCTGCCCGTTTTGGTCTATCAGATGGAACTCCTCTGCAGAGAGAGGCTGAGGCTGGGGTGGCCGTGCAGGTGCAGCTAATGATGGAGAACTACCCAAAAGACGTACTGTGATAGGCAAGGCTGCGGGAGAGTTGCTGTGTCCAAATAACGGATCCTTGGAATCCATGCAGGTTAAACGCTTTCACAGAGGAAAAACAGTAAAATGCACGTTAATGCCAAGTAGCAATTTCTACTTTAAAAAAACAAACAAAAGAACATTTAAAATTGTCATGATGCATTTTTACTCAGTTGGAGCTCTATGTCCTTCTGACCAAGAGGCTACTATTTAGCACTGGCAGTTTTGGTTTTCACATTTTCATGCTGAAAATATGAATACATTTCTGCTTTCTAGAACTGACCCTCTACTAAAAGGAGAGAAATTCCACTGTGCCCAAGAGCTGTGCCCCAAAATTACTTACCACTTTAAAACATCTCAAGACTACCCAGAAACTGAAAGAACATCCACCAACTCAATTTGACTTAAAAAGAAATCTTAGATATTATTCTACTCAGCCTTTAGATACTTGCATTTAGCTATGGAGACAAAGTTTCTATACACTGACCGCTTTCTTAATTCTTTACCACAGAAGAAGCACAAGCAGCAGAAAACGAAATCAAGTCCAAGAATTATACAGTGCAAGACCAAGAATCAGATCTTGCAAGTCTCAAAAAAAAAAACAACGTAGTCAGAACATATTCTACTCAAGCTTGAGAAATTGAGATCTCACAGCACATTCCATTTGTATTAAATTTAAATGTTTAAACATAAATGTGTCCTGTTGCAACTCTGTCAACACAAACATTAAACATTTAAAAACAGTAAGAATTAGGTAGCCCTATGTAAGTTTTGTAAGGCTGTCATTTGGCCAGTGCAAGAAGGGCAATAGGTTTTCTCTCTGCAACAATTACACATCCAGCTTTGATGCTTCTGTAACAAAAATGTGGAAACTGCAAATCAAAAAAGAGAGGAAAAATGTTTCTAAATTCTGTACTGAAGTCAGAACTGGGCCAGAAACCTTATGTAGTTTCAGCTCCTCTGTAAAACACACCAGAAAACAACAAGATTGTATGAAGGCCATGAACACACTACTAACCCACTACCCGAATGATCTCTTAGCCAACGCAATCTGAACAAGAACGTTTTATTCACAGAAGTCTCTGTGGCTAAGATAGGTGGCAACATTTAGTAACAGATATACTTAAGATTCCCCTTCACTTGATGTCTATACATATTTTGTGTTGTCCTTGGGTTCCCCTTTTCCACATCTGGTCACTAAGCAGTTTGACCCAATTTTCAAGTGTTCTGAACCCATCCAAAATTCTTCTAATAAAGAATTTTGTTAACAAAATAAGTATTTCTTCAGCACTGTAACAGGAGTTACTAAATATAATTACTAAAAGGCTGTCATTACAGGTAACATCTGGATGTTTATCAGTTCAAAACCGAATGGCACAAGAATACAAGTGAAGGAACTTCTGTATTTTTTAAAAAACACGACAATATATTAGTCTAAAGTGAACAAATACAAATACAAAGGGAACAAAAAAAAATTAGTCTAAAGGGAACAATGTATTAGTGTAAAGGGAACAAATAACAAAATATGAAAAATCACACTGTAAAATAATTGGAGAGAACGTAAAGAAAGCATCTAAAAAGACAGAATGTTCATATCTCACCTGAAAAACCTGATCGTTTGTTTCCAACTGTCCTGCACCATTGCAGTTGCCTACAAACAAAACATTAGATCTTTCCATAGCAACATTGTGGTCAACTCCATTTTCTTCCATTACCAGATGACCTGGAAAAGTTACAAAAGTTTACTTCAGTACTAGCCTCAATCAAGAGGTTGCTACAGGATTTTTTCTGGTGTTAAAGATCTAAGTTTTACAGGTTCTAACCCCACTGCAAGCTAAAAACAAAGCCCTCAAGATAAAAAGCCCTTGCTTCTTTACCACTTTATTACACACTGCAGATACATTGCAGTGTGTTCCTCCAAGAGTATAGTTTAGCACCTTGTACAAGAAAATTTGCTTGACTTGTCATTGTGCACACAGATACAAAACAGACAATACACGTTCTTATGCTTTTCATTTAGATACATCCACAAGCACTTATCTATACACATCCAGAGATTCTTAGTACTTACAGATATGCCAGCACTACTTTATGAAAATATTATTCATCTATTACCACAGTAAACACTCAGGACTCGCATTACCCAACTCGGTCACAGAGCCATCTTGAAGTAAATTGGATTTGTTTTAAAGGGGTATAAAATAACATTTAAATTACAGAAAATTACTATAGTTAGACCACAGCGAGAAGCTTTGGGCACAAAAAGTGCCAGATATTCAAAACAAAGCTTGGCATGAATCATAGGATGAAACACAAAAAACAGAGTTCTCAGCACTTTGGAGATTTACCTCCCATCCCAAAGAAAAGTCCTTCAAGGAGCTCAGCTGCCCATTACAAACCTTCAAGCAAACAGAGAATATGAGACAGTGAATTGCCACAGCCACAGGATAAGGCTTTCACCTAGCCAACACAGCCTTTAAAGCAGTGACCAAACCCAAATATTTATAAGGAACTAAACAAAAAGACAAATTAACCTGGCCTCTACATTACTAAGCTATATACATGTGTGTGTGTATATATATATATTTATTTATTATTTTATTATTATTTTTTTTAATATATATTCCAATATGCACAAAATACGCCAAAGTGAATAGAACAAAACTTAATTCCTGCAATTTGTATTGGAGGAGGGAGTAAGGTCCTTTGGAAATAAATACTCTTCCGTATTTATTTTAGAGACAGGCAGCATTATGTTAGAACATGACTCCTACCAGCTTTATGTTCTTCATCACACAGCAAATTCCTTCAGATGGACCATCTCAGCTGTGGCATCTAAACCATTTACAGCTTTGGTAAGGAGAATGTAAAAGACTATAAAGCCTTTCAGAAAGAACTGTACAACTGAAAGCATATATTTATTTTTCTTTGAAAAGATATAAAGGACCATGGGCAAAGCAGAACATCTCCTTAGCTTCTGGAGATGAATAAAGCATTCTACTGATATGAACAACATTATGAAGTTAAGCTGCTCATATGCTCATTATAACAAATACTCTAAAGCAGATTTATTTTTCCTTTCAATTTTCAAGTGAAGACACTCCAAGCTCTAAATTAAGTTAATCATGTTTACCAAGTATTTTGTAGCTTTGGATCTGAGAACAATTATGGGATGTTTCAGTTTAAATATCTGAAGCAGACAATAGAAAAAAAAAAAATCCACGCCAGACAGAACTAGATTTCATCATCACTCATCCAGTGTCCCCCTATTAAAAGACATAAATATATGAAATATATGTTGTTTTTTCCAGGGCAGCACTTTCAGCTGTTAGAAATCACCTGAAGATAATCGTTCGACAGACAGCAATGGTGTGTGCTCTGAGCATGCCACAACCCTGCCACAGAGTGCAGGAATGGCTGTCTCAGCATTGACCTGTGGCCAGAGCAGCCCAATGCTCTGTATCTAACATGCTAGTTAATAACAGCCCAGGGAAAAATGATAGCAGCAGGGCAAACATAAAATGATATTTTTCCAGCTTCCTGTTATAAGTAGAACAGAAATAGCTTGAGCCTAAAGTTCTATCTTGGTGTTTAAAACACACCCGCAGTATATTTCTGTTCAGTGACCTTGTATAATCACTCTTTTAACCTAGGCAAGCCACTGGCACATGCATCACCCCAGGAACTTCATGGTTTAACCATCCAGATTGCATCAGCCTAAATTCTATTCAACCCTAAAAAAAAAAAAAAAAAAAAAAAAAAAAAGTTTTTTTTGTCCTAAAGAAATATACTGTTACATAGATGCTTAGAAGCATGTACATAACTAATAAATGGCATAGTTAAATATTGCCAACAAATTCTCCAAATAAGACAACTAAATCCTGTTCATAGATATATGCATGGATATTCGTCATGAAAAAGTGAATAATACGCAAGTATCCCTCCTTTTCATAAATGTTTTACATTTGAAATTTTTGTGGTGCATATGTAACACCATGGCTTGCTACATTTAGCAAGAAGTTGAGGGAGAAAGGTGGGAGTTTAACTTAGTGTAAAAACTGAATCAACAGCTGTATCCCCCACGCACAGCTCGAGCGCTGGCAGCTCTTTGCCTCAGCTTCAGCCTCAGCACAGCACCAGGAGAGCCACCTACGTGCTGCTCTCTGCCAAGCCCGCTGCTCCATGGCTGCTTCCCACTCAAGGGTCAGCACCCTAACACTGCAGCACCGCTTCTGTCACCCTGCCTCCCCATTGAGAAGCACCCTGCTCAAAATAAAGCAGTATCTGCAACTGCTGCTGCCCTCAGTTTGACTCCACAGAGAGCTGGCAGCCACAGAAACTGCTAGCACAGGTAAGTACTGCAACCATCACTAGTATTTTAAGAAGTCTTAGTGACGGGATCTTCAAGAGAGCAATCATCAGGCACTGCAACATAGCTTACTATACTACCATCAGCAGTTCAGTTCCAAAGACAAACAAGATCACTCAGCAAAAGGCAGGCAGGCAGACCTCATGCTGAGGCAACACCTACAAACCAACTACAACTACACCAGTTCTAGACTAATGTAACTCTCAGGTCTCACATGACTGTGTGCTTCTGCCTTCCCTCAGTTATGAGGGCTCTTTCTGAGGGCTATGTGCAGGCAGACCCAAAGAGAAGTACTGTCTTCCAAAATCCCAGATCAAGTTATTTTAACGCTGAGGGAATTCTACAAGATTTTAGTCTCTCTTCTCTTAGAAGAAAACTGAACTTGAAGAAAACATGTGAGCCCATTTTGATTATAGGCCCATTCCCTTACATTTACAGACAGGAGTCTTCAGTGCTCACCCATGTTAAAAGAAGAAAAAATATAAACCAAAGCTCGACTAAGTTCATGTTTTCAGCACTGCTGATAGCAACGTGCCTCATCTCGGCCTCAGTTTACACTTCATGACGGTAAACACACTTGGAAGCCTTGCTAACAATTCTTTCTCAGTTTTCCCTATAATAATTAAGAGGTTTAATAAAAAGATTTAAAATAATTGCAAAGCTTAACACAACACTCCCTCTGAAAAAGCTGCCTCTGGTGAGACCGCTCTAACAAGCAAACCATTATAAAGGGCATGAATTACAGTGAAACGTAACGGGGACGAAACTGGAGCAGAGCACTGTCCTCAAGCAGGCAGATGAACTAGCTTAACATTAGCTCTTGCCGGGCTCGAGACTCAGCTCGCGTCCGCGGTACAGCAGCAGGCGGGTACTGCACGGGGCACACGGAAGGTTTGGGAAGCGCCCGGGTGCTCGGCAGGGCTCAGGGGGACCCCTCAGGGAACCGCGGGGCAGCTCCGGGGGGCGCGGGGCACTGGGGCTGGGCCCCGCCCGCTGCCGGGGACGCCGCGGAGGGACGGGAGAACTCAGGGCAGAGGCGAGCCGCAGGTGCCGGCGCCCCCCACCCCGGGGTGCTCGGCTCCCCTCCGCTCGGGGCAGGACCTTCCCCACCGCCGCGGGGCAGGGCCGGCCGCTGCCTCTCGGCGAGGGGGCGGCGCCCCGTTAGCCCGGCCGCCGCCAGGCTGCCTCCGCCGACCCCCTGCCACCCCTCGCCGCGGGGCGCCGCGCCCCCGCCCCGCCGCTCTCTCTCCCCCAGCCCGGGGGCGAGGGGAGCCCGGCCCCGACCCCCGGAGCGAGCCCGCCCCACCTCGCCTCAGCTCCCGCCGGCGCCGCCATGGAGGCCGCCCCTCGGCGCACGCGCGGCGCCCAGAGGCCGGCAGGGGGCGCGCCGGCAGCAGGGAGGCGGCGCGCGGCCTGGCGGGGGCTGCGGCCGCGTGGGGCAGGGGCAGGCCGGGCGCTGCAGCACCGCCACCAGCAGCAGCAGCACCGCCACCAGCAGCATGGCGCAGCTCACGGCGCGGTTCCGCACCGAGAACCCCAGGTGAGGCCGCGCCGGGTTGGGATGGGTGGGGGGGTACGTGGAGGCCCCCGCGCAGGGCCGGCTAACGGCGCCGTGTGCCCGCAGGTACGCCGTGGAGGATGTGCCCTTCTCCGTGCCCGCGGCCTCCGAGATCACCGACCTCAGCCACCTCATCAACAAGCTGCTGGTGGCCGCCGACGGTAGGGGCCGGGCCGGGCCGGGGGCTCCGCCGCAGGCCCCGCCTCGGCCCTGCGCTTCGGGGCCGGACCGGGGCCGCACGGAGGGGCCCGGGGAGCAGCGGGCGGGCGCAGGCAGCCGGCAGAGCCCCCGTGGCTCGCAGCGAGCCTCCCTTCCTTCCCCTCGCGTAACGCCGTGGGCTGCCCACGCTGGGCTTTTAATGCTCCTGCTGGCCAGCCCCAGAGCGAGGTTGTTCTTGATAGCATCAGTTAAACAGCACTACCTGAGAGTGAATTCTGCTTTGTTTCAGCTGACCACAAGTATGTGGAATTTGACTTCCTTATCAATGGCCAGTTCTTGCGTATGCCGCTGGTCACACACATGGAGATGGAAAATATCTCCACGGTAAGTCATGCTCACTTTCTTTCGCAAAACAGATTTAGCCATCATCTCTCAGTTCAAGGTATCAAAGTATCACCCTGTCACCCTAACTAGGTAAATCTCTAAACTGGTGAAACGTTGCCCTGCTCAGTTTTTCTCCTTTCCCGACTTCCACAGAAGTCCTGTATGTTTAAAGTCATTCTCAATTGCAGAATGATTAGACAGTAGAGGACAGAGCAGTGCAAGAAACACCCTTAATCCAAGCTGTTGTCTTTATACAATTTAGAGGGTAAATTATTGTTGCATGTAGTTTATCACTAACATGTTTTAGCTTCCCGTGCTTAGTTACATTGAGAGATGAAAGGAGAGGTTAGCATCACCTCTAGAAAAGTCAAATTCATGAATTACTTTAGACACGGCTTTTACATAGGTAGATACAGTAAAGAGGAACCTGAAAACTAGAACTATTTCATTTTGCTTTCAGCTTGCCATTAATTGTAACTTGCTAAAACTATGGAAAGCGATAATACTTGGATACTGAGACATTTGGTTCAATAAACTTTTATATCTGTACCACACTAAAACTAAGTATAATTGCTATTAAGAAAAATTAAACTGCACTAAATAACTCTTCTGTCTGTGAACTCAGGAAGAAGTGGTGGAAATAGAGTATGTGGAGAAATACATGGCCCCTCAACCAGAGGAGTGTATCTTCCATGATGACTGGATCAGTTCTGTTCAAGCCACTGAAGAATGGTACCACAGTAAACCAGTTCTAAGTTTATATTACTTATTCCTGTTGTATGCAGAGGACTCCATGGTGTCAAATGAAGTCCTATTCTGTATCTTTAAAAGTCTATTAAGTCTATTTTTTTCTTGATTTGTTATGATTTTTTTTTTAACCTAGCAAGTCAGTCAGATACTACTTGCTTTTGTAAGGAGTTCGGATTTAACATCTCTGTTCTCTGCTGACAGCAACTTTAACACAGCAGAAAACAACTGCTTGAGATGCTGCTAGTAGAAATGGATAACACAAATACTGCTCACTATTTCTTAAAGGACACCAAGATTTCTATTTTAAAGCTTAAATCATTTAGACTTCAAATGTGACATTCATGTAGTAACAAATACAATTATGTAGCTTTGTGCAGAGCTTTTCTTTAAAATGCACTTATAATTGTCCTTTTGTACAATATTTTTAAATTTATTTCCAAACAGCTAGGCCATGCTTCTCTATGAAATAATGGTTTGAAAGTGCTTTGAGATCCTCATGTTACATACTACAATAACAGCATGTTATTATCTTTTATTTTAAATAACGTATGAGATGTTAAGTTTCACCTACCAGAATACGCAGTACTCCCTCTCATTGCTCTTCTCCTTTACTCTTAAGCCTTGCACTTGTAGGTTTTAACAAAGCCTTGCACTGTAACAAAAAAAAATATATATTTTTTTAACTTTTCCAAGTTTGTTTGTTTTTAATACAAAGTAGTTACATTTTTAATTCATTTCAGCTAACCAGTTGCTATGTTACTATTTATTTTTTTTTTCATTTTCTGGTTGTTGTGTTCTTTCATAAAAACATGTTTGCTTTTAAAGACAAGAATGCTTCAAATTCTGTATTTTGCAGGATATTAACTGGCTGCTATGATCAGACTGCTCGAATCTGGTCTTTGGAAGGAAAATCTATCATGACAATAGCTGGTCATACAGAAGTAGTGAAGGATGTGGCATGGGTGAAGCAAGGTCAGCATATATATTATGGGAGCAGTAATAGCTTGATTTATTGTGGGATAAATTCAGTGTTGAATATGTTGAAATGACAGTGAATGACTATTTAATAATCATAGAATGGTTACAGTTGGAAGGGACCTCTGGAAATTATCTGGTCCAAGCCCCCTGCTCAAATAGGACACCAACGCATTGCCCAGGACGATGTCTAGAAATCTAGATGTTAAAAATTACTTCAGCCTCTTGTCAGAAGTCTTGATGATGAAGTTAACGGATTGTTTTACTGGCACCATTACAGTAATGAATGTCAGTACTTTAGCATTCATATTGTCTATCATCCTTTCAGTCTTTATCTGTAAATATTTGTATGCAGTATTTTGTATGTAAACATTTACATTAATTGTACTTGCAGAATAACAGCGTAAACTGATAATATGGTCTGGGTTTCTATCTACTATTTCATCTTCAATTAGAATAATTACTATAAATGCTTTGGTAAGCTGACTTTGGTGTGAACGTGACTTCTTTCTTCCTCAGATAGTCTATCCTGCCTGTTACTCAGTGCCTCTATGGATCAAACTATCCTGCTCTGGGAGTGGAATGCAGAGAAGAACAAAGTGAAAGCCCTTCACTGCTGCAGGGGGCATGCTGGGAGTGTGGACTCTATAGCTGTTGATTGCACGCGAACTAAAGTGAGTGACTTCTTAAAAGAAACCTGTCTTTTGGGATGTTAGCAACCTATATCTCAAAAATATATTTTTTTTGGCCCTGGGTATTACTGGTCATTGTGTTATTGTGACCAACGCACTGACTTTTCCATTCCTGTTATAAATGATGGTTATTAAAGATTATATGTGCTACATCAACACTAAATCTTTTCAACAAAGCAGTGCACTTACCTCTAGTATGACAAAAAGCTGAAGGTGACTTTCGATAGCCAAGCCATTATACTGCTGCTTTTGACTTCTGTTGAGTGAAGCTGAATGTTCATTTTTAAGGAAACATTGCATTTGACAGACATAAATACAGGTTATAATGAACTATTTTCAAATTCAACCAATATTTTCACAGTAGTTTTGAATGGGAAAAAAATATTTCAAGAGTGATATTCATAAAAAGCAAGTGACAGAAGAGGTCCTTTCCCTTCAGGACTTCAGTACGTAAGAGCATTCATACCGAAGGTAGAGTCACCCCTCTCAGCTTGCCTCAGTAAGAAAAGGATTAAAATAAAATCTGGTGATGAAAGAAAGAGATGTTTTGTAGATATTCTTCCTGCAAAGAAAGGAGGGGAAAAAAGAGTAATTTGATCTATACAAAAACTTCTTTAGTCTCATTCGAGGAGCTCAGAATCTATTGGTTATTTTTTTTTAAGCAGGAACTGTACTTAGTATGACCTGCAAGGCTTGTCTGGATCAACTTTTAACAAAATGTTTCTATTTTTACAGTTCTGCAGTGGGTCTTGGGATAAAATGTTAAAGATTTGGTCTACAGGTAAGATAAGTCTAGTCTGGGATCCTTGGCTGTCTTCAGAACTGTACTTACAACAGCCTGCATGATGAATACATGAATACTTTATAATGAAAATTTGAATTTCAATAAAAGCAAGCTCTGACTTTTTTTTTGGGAGGGGACGGGGGGAGGAGGGGAACAGGATGGGACACAGACACAACAATAGCTTTGTAAGCCTGTACATAACTATTTTAAAGTACTGTTTTGGGTGGTAAAATTTTCAGGTGTGGTTATTAACAACCTGTTGCTGTTTTATTCAGAACACAATATTATGTGTATGTTTTATTTAAACATGCAGGTTTTAATATAGACTCTACAAAACAAAGGTTTGTGGGTGATTTTTCTGGTCTATCAACACCACAGTATGGAGGACAATAAGATAGACAGGTCTTTTCTAGAAACAGGTTTTTTTTGTTGTTGTTGTTTTTTGTTTTTTTAATCTGCATGTTCTCTATCACTGTTACCAGTCATATTTTTCCAGTTGGGTGTATATATGTAGGCACTGTATCTAAAAGAAAGATTGTGTTTACCCCACACTTGACTTCCTGTTGGGATTTTTGGTGAGGCAGGATGGTCTTAAAAACACTATTACAACTTCAGAAACCTCTAGATCAGGCCTGTCTTTTGTCATAGTCCCTACAGATGAAGAGGATGAAATGGAAGAAGCAGCAAACAGACCACGGAAGAAGCAGAAAACAGAACAGTTGGGACTAACAAGGGTAAGATGAACTCCAGGTTTGTCCAGGAATTTATCTGAGAAGCGTGACCATAGAAAGTAATTCTTATTTGTTAATATTTACAAGACCAAAAAAATTTCTGTGATGTGCCTGAGAATGACCAGATTCTTTCTTTTATTTATTGAAAGAACAAATGTATAAATGATACTCAATCTAATCTCTTCTCACTTTTGAATTCTAGACTCCCCTGGCAACCCTCTCTGGCCACACAGAAGCCATCTCCTCCGTG